GCACCATGGCACATAAAAAATCGCTTGAGGTACTTGATCGATTGTTGCGAGATTTGCGTGGAAACGTTCAACCATTCGGGAATGAGACCCCACATACTGAAATTGAAAATAGGTGTGACAATTATCTTGTTGCGGAATATTAATCAGCCAAAACTTTGCCACGGCACGCGACTCGCATTTAAGAAATTGATGAAAAAGTAGTGTAAGTAAATATTAAACGTGACCTTTCAAAGCTGAAGAATTCCAATGATTCCGACCGATACCCCATTTCAATTTAAAAGATTGCAATTCCCAATTCGATTGACATTAGGAATCACAATCCATATTGCTCCAGGTCGAACTTTGGAAAAATATGGTTTAGATTTAGATGCGGATTGCTTCTCAGATGTTGCGTGTTCCTGTATCGGCAAACCAGATATCCTTGATATCTATGCAGAGAATGGAAAAACAAAAAATATTGTGTGCACACAAGTACTTATTACATAACCAAACACCATATAACAGGAATATGGCACAGCAAAGCGTGGCAGGGTACAGCTAGTAAATTATAAAATAATAGCTTTTGATCTCGATCGCTTTCTCTTTGTACAGAATAAATATTTATGTACAACAAATAAAATACGTACATAAAAAAGATGCAAATTCTATTAACAAAATTCTGTGGACTTTTAAAAAAGCAACTTATTGGACTTTGCACTTTTTTGTATTTTTTTGGTAAAACATGTTTTAAAACCTAAAGTTTTTCTTCAAAAGATTAGGTACCATTCGTCTTAAATCAAAAACGCTAATCACAAAAGTTATTTTGACAAAAAGTCATAGATATGTGATAGCGGTTTTTATACAATCAATTCTGATATAGGTAAATATATCGATATAAGTGGGTATCGATACTTTTAGCGCGAAACTTAGTAGGTATAGAAACTTTCTTTCGATGCTATTTCCAAGCCATGGTATCGTTTTATCCCTATGAGTCGGTATAATTTAAAGTACCAACCTTCAAAGCAACTTAGAAATCTCGACCAGTCTAACCGGGTATTTCTTTGCCCACCCTCTTGGTTCCATTTAAAACCTTGATGGTGATTAATCTTTATTCTAAAAGATAGACGACGTATGTAGGCTCTTGAATACCCGGCTTTCACCAAGCGAAGCTTGAAAGATTTTTTGGACTAATGCGTGAAAATCAACAGCCGATTTAAATGACAATAATTCCTACAAAGGATTTAAACTTTTTATTTCGCCTTTTCGATTTTAGCACATCATGAATATGTATCTGTTTTGGTTATTCTAAAAAATGTGTTTCCAAATATGAAAATAATGCTGGATTTATCAACAAAATGCAAAACCGCGTATCAGCAAAATGCAAAACCGCCTATGTGGAGTTGTAGAAATTATGTTCTAGAGTGTTACGCTCTATAAAATAATTTCTACAACTTCACATACGCGGTTTTGCATTTTGTTGATACGCGGTTTTGCACTTTAAACGACGATATATGTGTACATTATGGGTGCATCACGAAAATATTTTTGTGTGTGCCAGGTTTAATAGAACACTTATATACATATGTATGTATATTAGAGTGGTCCAAAAAAATAAAGTCGGAGTTTTAATGCCGGCACACCCTAGGATTAATCCATATCGAAAAAATATACCCCTATTTTTTATTTTGAAATCAAAAAATCAAAAAGCGTTCAAAGCTTTCCATGTGTTTTATATGCAGAAAAAACTATTTTTCGTAGAAATGGTATAAAACTCTTGAAAATCAATATTTTTCAACCGGAAAACTATGGTTCTCTTCAGGAGACTAATATCCAATTGTTTATTTAACCATTTTTTATGATTAAAGATTTTTTATTGGTCCCCCCCATTGCATTTTCTAAGGGCTTTTGAGGAGCTATAAAATATAGTTACCATGAAAAAATGTTTAAAGAAACAATCGAGTATTACTACTGGGAATCTCCTGAAGATAAGTAAAGTTTTCCGATCGAAAAATATTGATTTTAAAGAATTCTACACTATTTCTACGAAAAGATGTTTTTTTTCCATATAACATACATGGAAAACTTTGAGCGCTTTGAGCACTACCTAAATTATTTTTTATTTCAAAATAAAAGAATATGGGTATATTTTTTCGGTATATAACAGTCCTAGAAGGTGGCGGCATTAAAAATCCGACCTTTTTTTTTTACATACATTTTTGGACCACTTTAATGTATATAGAGGGCAAATTTCGGTTGTAAAACGTTATCTGCATGTTTTGCTGTAACTTTCTTATTTGATGTCCAATTCTTGAACTTTTCATGTTTTGTTTTTATAAAACTGTTTGCTTTTTTCATTGGTAGCTTTGTAATATTAGAAAATCTGCGTAAAATGCTTTTGCCATACTCCCCTGATGATCCACTCAATTTTGGTTGCAAGATGAAGGATGACGAAAATCAGGTAAATATGTAAATTAATACAACCGGAAAATAAAATACATCCTTAGTTACTACATACTTAGTAGCATGCCATCAAAATTTACAATCTTTAATAACGGCTATTTGTGAAAGATACTTACATACATACGTATGTATGTATATTAGGGTGGTCCTACGTCGATGCTCCTATAGTCAAAGATGCCACATATAAATTTTGGTCCCGATTGGAGATGGTTAAGACGTGTCGCCCAGGAGACAATGTTCAGAGTCCTCCAGGGAGACTCAAAAAATTATAATTTTTTTTTTCGTCTAATACCAAAAATCGATACTAATTAAGTCGAAGATATCACATTTAAAGTTTTGCCTCGATTGGAGTCGGTTAAGGCGTGTCGCATGGGGGTCAAAGCTCAGATTACCCTATGAAGACGTCTTAACCGACTCCAATCGGAACCACCATTTATATGTGATATATTCGACTTTAGTAGTATTGATTTTGGGTATTAAATAAAAAATAAATAAGTTTAATTTTTTGAGTTTCCAAATCCTTTGGCCTTGACCCCTTTGCGACACGCTCAATGTACTCCAATCGGGACCAAAATTTATTTGTGATATCTTCGACTAAGGTAGTATCTACTTTGGGTATTAGATGAAAAAAAAATAATTTTAATTTTTTGAGTCTCTTTAGAGGAATCTGCCCCAGTGCAACACGCTTTAACCGACTCCTACTCCGACTCGGTACCAAATTTATATGTGAAATCTGTGACCGTTGTGTTACCGATTGAGGGGATGGGATTGAAAAAAATCATTCATTTGATTTTTTAAGGACCTAATGTAATAGGATGATACGTTTTTGAATAAAATAAATTCATAGAAAAGGACCTGGGCGTCGACTGAACGCAGGATGCGAATAACAATTGACCTTTTGGCATGGTTCGTATAATTTCGTTCTTCAATTCTGGAATCGTCTCGAACTTATTAGCATAGGCCATGGTTTTCATGTAGCCCCAGATCTAAAAGTCCAAGGTTGTCAAATCGCAAAATCTAGGCGTCCATTTGACCTCGCTGTTTCATGAGTTAATGCGTCCTGGGAACTTCGTTCCTAATATGGCTATTGTTTCATGCGCTGTTTGGCAATTGTGGCACTGTCCTGTTGAAACCAGATATTGTCCAAGTCGATGCCTTCTAATTCAGGCCATAAAAAATACGGTATCATATCACGATAGCTGTGCATGACGACGATTTAAGGTTTCCGCGGCCTGGTCCACACTTTGGTAAACAGCAGCAATCTTTTCGACCGAAGGATCTATACAAAGACGCTAGGGTTTTGAAATGTTTTTCACCGACCCGGTTTCTTCGAATTTCTGCAAAAAACGGCTCATTGTAGACTCAGATGGCCGGTTATATTCACCGTAAAAGTCTCGCAACGCGTGACCTGTTTCATAAAACCTTTGGATCTCTTCGGGCTATAGTAACGCTCAATTAATAATTTTGCCAAAGCTAGCAGTACCAAGTGTCTAAAAAAAAAATAAAATAAAAAACATTAACATGTAACAAATAATAACTGTCAAAAATTTGAATCGCCTTTAAATCACCCATGTTTGCCCAAAACCCACGGCTTACTTTTATTAACTCAGTTCCCTCAACTCGCTCAACTGTTTCATTTTTCTGCAAGCAGGTAATATAAAAATATGTTAAATGTAACTTTTTAGGTGGCCGATAAAAAATCATACTAAAATTGAAAACCCCGGCGTTTTAAAAATTTGTGGCAAAAATGATCTTTTATTATTATTATTTTTTTATCTAACACAAATTCGCTGGTGGATATACATACAAAAAAATTTGTGGCAAAAATGATCTTTTATTATTATTTTTTTTGTATCTAACACAAATTCGCTGGTGGATATACATACATGAAGTATCGACATATTTTCAGACATACATGCATGGCGGTTATGTCCTCAGCCGTGAAGCATTATATCGCCTTGTCACGGATAGCTTCACAAACTCAAGTCTGTGTTACCTGCAAGATAGTCCTGACGATGACCTAGAGTTGGGTAGATGTCTGCGAAATGTTGGCGTTGTTGCTGGAGACAGTCGTGATGCTATGGGTCGCCAGCGGTTTATGCCATTTCCACCGGAGGAATATTTGGTAGACCTTAAACCAGATAAGCAGGAATGGTTCGTGAATCGCTCCTACTACGAAATTAATGTAAGTATTTATGAAGATTTCTTAAATGGACGTTTTTAAATTTTTTAAATGTGTCTCTGCTTACAGGCCACTACGAGACAGATGGCAAGAGATGCAATTTCGTTTTATAATGTGAATGCTCCAATAATGGTCACACTGGATTACTATTTATATAAAATGAGAATTTTCGGAAGAAAAAAATCTACACCGAACGCAAATAAAACGAAGCTAACAACTCCAGGCAACTGAATTTAAATAAAGATATACGCATTTAGAATTTTCGTTGTTTATGTTTTCGACAGGGAGTATTATGTACATATTTTGGAACGAAAAATTACACTGAAGATGGCACAACGCCGACACCGAGTTATCTGCATACCAAATTTGACAAGGGAAATTTAAACACATTTATTTTCGACAAGCGACTTTCAAACCCGCAGAAACCGTTAAAGACTAGAAAAAATCCATACACATTACATTTATACTATTAGTTGCGATCCCGTTCGAGTCCGGACTAGTCAGGAATAGTCAGAATCAGTCAGATTTTACTGGAAATCGATCCCGTACTCGGTTCTCTGACTATTGAGAGGACAAAAAAGATAGTAAATACGGTTATCTCTCTGTCAGAAGTTGCCAGTTTTAGTCCGAGAATTTTTTGCTGGTAAATTATGGTAAATGTGTCAAACGATCAGCTGTAATTAGGGATGTCAATTTTCGGGGTTTTGTCGATCCCGGGATTTTCGGGATCTGAAAATACAATCCCGGGATCCCGGGATTGTCCCGAAATTCAGGTAACACATCTGTGATCATCCTATTATAGTATTTTAAATCAGATTGATATAACAAAAAAAAGTACAATTTATTGTAATTCATTTACATATTTATTAAGGCGATAAATCAGTATTTTCAATCAACAAAAAACAAACATAAAATTTGACAAACATATATGTATGTAGGTACATATCCTCATTAATTTATAACATAGTTTTTGTACTACAAGTACAAATGCATATACGGTCATCCCAGAAATATTTTGCATAGATTTTTTTTTGCAATATTCAGAATATTTTTCATGGTATTTTTTTTTGTTAATTTAAAAAAATATATACGTATGTGCAATTTTGAAGTTGCTAAAACATCCCGTTGACATTTTATATATTTTTTTTTGCCACAAAAAAATTCGTTATAAGGAAGAAAATGCCCAACATCGTCAGTAAAAAAATTCAAAAATCAAGGGAGTTTTTAGCAACTTTAAAATTGCACTTTATTGTATTAAATTGAATGGGCTATAAAACTGCATAATAGAATTTTTTTTTTAAATTATAATTAAAAAGTTTGATATTTTCTCTTAAGTGTGAAATTTTGATTTACATGATTATTGTTGTAAAATGAGGTATATATTTTTTTAATTAACAAAAAATACCATGAAAAATATTTTGAATATTGCAAAAAAGATCTATACAAAATATTTTTGTAAGTGACTGTATTTGGCACAGCAGTAACTGCCTATGTAACTATATAAAATTTTTTAAATCACTGTTTGAGATCAATTTAAGATATTATCAGTATATTTAAGTAATAATAAAAAAGTTAACACATTTAAGTAAAAAATAAATATATAAGCGCATCACCTATTCCATTTTGAGCGAAGCAAAATTATTCCTTCTTTTGATGGAAATGCGATCTTAAAGAAATTATAGCATTAAGGGTTGCAAAAAATTCTTGTTTTGCCCTTGAGAGGGGATATTTGTGATAAAAATTTAATTGGCTAACAAAAAAATTGTTTCCAGCAATCCCGGGATTTAAATCGACTAATCCCGGGGTATTCGGGACTAAAAAAGACCGGGATCCCTAGCTGTAATGTGTTTGGCAACCAAATTGTAAACAAAAGAAAAGTGCACTCTGCTAATTCATATTGAAAAGTATTTAATTACTTGTTTAAGTGGATTTTAATTAATTTGAAAGTATTTTTGGTTATTTACATGTGTGAGCTTAATGTGTTTACATACAAAATAAGCAAAAACTTACAACCAAATTTTGGAGGTTATGTTGAAGTTGACAGAAGTTACCATTTTTTACTAGAAAGCGATCCCGTACTTTTCAATGTTACTCTCTCACTCTGAGCGATTTTTTATTTTTTGACAGTTTTACTAGTTTTAGTGCGAGGAATACGGGATTGCACCTATTATTAGCTGTACCCTGCCACGCTTAGCTGTGGCATATCACGGTTATTAATTATTAACGAAACAAAGCATACGTTTCATATGAGTTTGATTTTGTAATAAGTACTTGTGTGCACACAATATTTGTCGTATTTCCATAGACATAGATATCAAGGATATCTGGTTTGCCCACGCGGGAACATGCTACATCTGAGACGCAATCGGCATCTAAATCTAAACCACACTTTTTTAAAGATTGACCGTAAGCTTTATTGATTGTAATTGCGAACGCCAATCGAATTGGGAATTTAAATCCTTTAAATTGAAATTGTGTATCGGTCGGAATCATGGGAATTCAAGTTAAAATCTTTGCTTCCACTACGTTCTTCATCAATTTCTTACCTGTGAGTCGCGTGCCGTTGCAGAGTTTTGGCTGATTAGTATTCCGCAACATGATAGTTGCCACACCTATTTTCAATTTCCGTATGTGAGGTACCCCTGAAAGATTAATCGAGTTCAAAGATTTCGTTGGATAATTAATTCCTTCCTCTTCCTCTGTTACCAACATCGCGGCCCGCGTTCAATACTTTCAGATCAGGAGCGTTTCTGTCCATTCGAACGACATGGCCAAGCCAGCGGAGCCGCTGAATTTCAATTCGCTGCACTATATCTATATCATTGTAAAGCTCATATAGCTCATCATTAAATCGTATGCGGTATTCGCCATCGCCAACGCGTAAAGATCCGTTAATCTTTCGCAGAACCTTTCTCTCGAAAACTCCAAGAGCCGCTTCATCAGATGTTTTTATTGTCCATGTCTCGGAGCCATACACCAGCACAGGCATGATGAGTGACTTATAGAGTGTGATCTTTGTACGACGAGAGAGGACTTTACTTCTCAATTGCCTACTCAGTCCAAAGTAGTGTTGCCACAAAAAAATTACCAAATTCCCCAAAAACAAATGAAAAGTGCTCAAAATCCGGACAAATTACTTAAAATTTTCTTATTACAGATATGAGTATTGTGCACTGCCTACTATTTACAGGTACTTAGTATAAAAAAATTAGTTACATTCTGCAATTCAGTTGGTACATTTGTTCTTGCGGCTCAAACAAAGTATCACTGTTATTTTATATGGCTTGGTTTTTATACATATAATATTGCTGCTACTATATCAGTGCTCAATCTGGTCCTCAAATCAGTCCAACACATTTTTAAACTACTACATATACGTTCTGATAAAGCATTAGAAAAGGGTTATATTAGTAATGCAGTTATAATTTTTATATCTTTCATGAGCATGAAATGGTATTATAACTTTGGTCCGATGTTTGTAAGTACCAGAATATAGACCCATTAAAATGTATACATAAATGATCAGAACGTCTAGCGGAGTCGAGCTAGCCATGTCCGTCTGTCTGCCAGTCCGTCTGTTTGTATGCAATCTAGTCTCTCATTTTTCGAGATAGCCGGATGAAATTTAGTAGGTGGATGTATTTTTATAATGTTTTAATCATTTGTCGGAACCGGAAGAATCAGTCCACTATAACATATAGCTCCCATACATCTGATTGTTCAGATATGAGATTTTTCGTTATAACTCCTCCATTTAAGCAGCTAGGAACATGAAATTTTGCACTGTTATCACTTTTTATGAAAAGAATACTTTCAATGAAAATGGCGAGGATAGGGTCGCTATATCCTATAGCCTCCATATAACTGATTGTTCAGTTATGAGATTTTTTGCCGTAACTTCTCCATTTATGCAGATAGGAACATGAAAATTCGCACCGTTTTCACTCATTATTAACAGAACACTTACAGTGAAAATAACAAAGATCGGGACACTAAAACAGATACCTCCCATGCAACTGATTGTTCAGTTATGAGATTTTTTGCCATAACTTCTCCATTTATGCAGATAGGAACATGAAAATTCGCACCGTTTTCACTCATTATTAACAGAATACTTACAGTGAAAATAACAAAGATCTTGTCACTAAAACATATATCTCCCATGCAACTGATTGTTCAGTTATGAGAATTTTTGTTATAACTCCTCCATCTGTGCAGCTGGGAACATGATATTTCCACCCATTATCAAAAAAATACTTGCAGTGCATATGGCGAAGATCGGGTTCCTATAACCTATAGCCCCCACACAAATGATTGTTCAGATATGAGAATCTTTGTTATAACTTCTCCATATACATATGCAGCTAGAATCATGAAACTTCGCAATATTTTCAGTCATTGTGAACAGAAAGTTTACAGTAAAATTAACAAAGTTCGGATCACTATAGCCTATTTATTGCCTCCATACAACTGATTGTTCAGATTTGGGGTTTTATTGTAAAACTCCTTTATTTGGACAGCTAAAACCGATAAATTTCGTAAGCTATTTTATAAATAATAATACAAGGTCTAGTGAGAAAATGGGCAAAATTTATGCTGTATAAGCTTTATCTCTTATACCACTGATTGTTCAGATACCAGTTTTTGCGACATATCTCCTTTATGTAAGAAGCTAACCTCATTAAATTGTGTTACCGGTTTACATACCGATCACACAGCAATGCAAATCATATATAAGGTATAACTTCCACTCTGATCGTTTAGATTTTTTATATATGTATCTTCTCTATCTATGTATGCTGTAAATATATAAATTTTTTCAAATGCAGTAGTCTGTTAAAGTAAAATTTTCAGATGTTCATGAAAGGTATGAAGCAGAGAGCTGCATGGATACACTCAAATTACATTTTAAGTCACTCGCTTTCTTTTCACATCTGCACACACCCGCACTCATTTATTTCCAAACATAACGTGCGATAGCACTGAAAAAATATTGTCGGTTGAGTGAGTAATTCACACTATTAAGTGCTCGATTCAAATAACAAGTGCTTGATTTGAAAAACAAGTGCATGGCATAACTGCTGTAATGAAAATATCAAAGAAAAAACATTTGTAAAGACAATTTTTGTTAATTTTATTGGTTTCCTAACTGCATATTATAATGCAAAAATATCAAACTGGTTAAGGGCATCATCATTTGACAAAAGGTGGCACCTTTTGTCAGAAATAAC